GAATTTATATTTTTTTTCCTGCGTTGTGAACATCAAAATTTAGAATTATTAATAAAATAAAATCATATTTATAAGCAATAATCTTGCCCCTCTATATTATTGCCAAAATAATATTTACATGAAAAAGGAAGAGGGATTATAAAAATAAGAAGAATTTAACATTTTGTAAACAATCAATAAAGCGCTAATCTCATCATATTTTGATACGAATTTTAACTGCAGAAAAGAATATGAGCTAAAGTTTGGTCAATTTTGGACTATAATGATTTATGTGCAATTTTATTCTTTTACTATATCCTATTTTTTTTCTTGCACCAAAATCACATTGAGTATTATCATTATTATGGTTCCACGCAGATTATAATTGTAGTAAAATGATTAGATTTATCTCATTTATTCAATTTTTTGGGTCAAAGCTACCTTTTTCCTTCTAACAAGGCGCATCTCTTTCAGAGCATAATACGTTTCCCCCTTGAGTGCCGCGTTTAGTTAACTCGCCGTTACCGTTTATTTCAGGCAAAACGATAACGAGCAGGAAAGTGGGCCGCTCGGCTTCAGTTTTCCTCTTAATAATTCTGCTGATAGAATTAAATGTCAGGTAAGCGGCCAATTACGCCGGAAAGGGACTCTCTCATTCTTTTTTTGTATAAAACAAACGCTTCTCCCCCGCATTCTCTCTTCTCGTTTTAATGCAATTCGTGGCTAATGAAACGTAATTAATTATACTTTTTATGTGTAGCCGCCGCTGATACCAGGGCGATAACACCGCGCGGTCGGGGGTCGCAGTGGCGCCGTGAATTACGTGATATTGAATCGTTTCACGTTGAATGGGTGTGTGTGGGCTGCACTGCCAGAGTAAACGACGCCGCTTTTATTTTCATATATTTACATTTTGAGCGAACACGAACGTTGATAATAGAAACCCGAGCAGCGTTAAACGCACAACGAACGTGCATCGGTCGCCCTTGTTAATAACGGTCTCGTTGTTATTCCTGCCATAGATCGAGCGAGACAAAGCGCTGGTTTCGATACGCTGCTTAAAGTTAGAAAAAAAATGTTTCCTGTAACTCACGAGAAAATCAAAGAATTCATGAATTTCAATTGAATATTATTTTAAACTGCGTGCTGGTAATAATTACTCTTGAAGTTTTGAGATAGGGAAAGTTCAATTATTTTAAAATGTATACTGACCAAAATCAGTGGAGAAAAAAAAATAGATTAAATTACATCAGTTTCAATTTCAAAGCAAAAAGTAATAATAGCGAGTCAAATCTTTCACCCACAATGCTTTGATTTGGAGTTCAAAGAGTCGATTTCTCTTGAAATTTTAATTGGGTTCCTCTTTAAAAGGAAACTTTCTATAGAAAATCCTTATTTTATTAGGAGAACCTAAAATGTAAAATTTGCAAATGCTCAATTTTTCAATGAAATGAAATGTGAGAAATTAACAAATAAAAACTAGCTTTTTATATTTTAACAGCGCTTGATTAATATTTTTGTCCCTTTTCCAGCTCCCTATCAGTTAAAGTACTGCACAACCTAATTTCCTCTCTGTACTACTTGCGCTAATTCCACACCCTACGGTCATAAATTACTCGCCAGCAAAAAGATAATGCGGCATTAAGTCGGCCAATAATTTAAAGACAACGCTGCTGGGTGTAACAGCGCCAGATTTATTATTGTGTCATCCGTCGCGCGCGGCTTTGCAAAGTGCAATAAAATAATATACACACCGCAGCTCGGCAGAGATATGATGATAAAACGTGTCGAGTGGGAATTTATACTGGTCAGCCCGACAGGCTTTTTGCTTTCTCTCTTTGACTTTATGTTAATTACCTTTTTGATTTATACAATCGCGGGCAAAAACTGTGCGAGAGAAAAGGACGAGTGAGCGCACTTGCGGTTTTTCGCGTCTCTTAATTGAAAAGGGCTGCGGGGCACGGGGGCGTATCATAATTGAAATCCATCATCCCTTGTGACACAAAAGTCGTGGGGCCAAAAGAAGGGTGTCTAATTCCCTCCTCTGCTTTTGCAAAAAAGGGCCGGGCTTGAAAGTTTTTTATAACATTCGGACATGATGTAAAAAAATAAAAATTAAATTCTATTTTTGCCGGGAAAGTTTGTTGCTGAAATTTTTGACGTAAACAAAAAGGGGCCCGCAGGTGAACACGCACAGGATAATGGCAAAAAGCGCGAGGGACGGAAACACGAGAGTCATGTCACATTTTTCCACCTGCGGGCGTCTCGCAGCAAAAAAGCCGCAACTCCTCCCCAGGGCTTAATTAAACAATAACGCGCCGTGCGAGAGGAGAAAAAGGGCATAGGGGTCTGTCTGCCCACGACGATATTCACTGAAATTGAATCCGAGAGATGAATGAGTTTTTGTCGGATAATTTTTTGTCTGCCTCTATCTCAAGCGGACTAACAGGTGCGCGTGTTTGCAGCGTTATCACGGGGGGTGGACAGGCAGAGCCACGAAAACCACCCTCTCAGCGAAATGATCGCCATTAACTAATTAAGCGGTTGACGGCTGCCGCTGCTACGGTGATGGCCTCCCACACACCATACCCTGCTCACAGATAAACCTCGTTTAAAACAGTTTCTGCTGATTGCTGCAAAATTAAACCCATGAAAATGAAATGTTGAGCTAATCAAGTATGATATAGTAGTAATATCTGACATTTGTATAAAAATACAATAAATTTTATTAGTAATAAAAGATAAAACAATACAAATATAATGCAATAAAATAAGCTCTTTATTATTAATTTTTAAGTAGTGGTTATTTTACAAACTAAAACTACTAAATTTATGAAAATTTTATGTAAATAAAATATTAAACATATTCTTTTTGTTAATAACATTGATTTTATTTAGTAAAATTATTGAAGATATCAAAACTATACCTTTTCAAAATGTGTTCTGTTTATTTAAATAAGAAAAAGAGCTCATTATTTGAACATTTTATAAAATTTCAGATGTCAACTGGTCCAGAAGTGTTCCAATTATTGTGGTAGATAAAGTGACATTTGAAAGAATGACGTGGTGAGGTATATTTTGTGTGTCTACCAATGGCACCAATTCGAGTCCCATTTAGTGGTGGAAAATTCTTTTTGAAAATATGAGCCGTTCAGGTTTATTCTTTTTACTTCTAAATGCGACTGAAAACTGTAATCCTAGCGGATATTTAAATTTCATAGATTCGCCGTCTAAAACTTTTTTTGAATGTAATATTCACTTTTGTGAAAATCAATTTTACAATAACGACATAACCTGAAACACGTGAATCCAGTTTTTATCAAGTTTGCAATATCAATAAGAAATCTAAATAAAACGCATAATCTCTTCTCCGTTCGTCAGCGCAAATCAATCAGCTCAACGAAATGCTTGACCTACTTAATGCTTGCAAAAGCACTAATGGCGCCGTTCAAACTCATCAAACATCTTTGCCACAAATTTTACTTCGCGGCTATTTGTTTTGGAATTGCATTCTTGCTTTTTAAATGCACATGTGAGCATGGAGGCGATCGCGGCGGAATTGTGCAATCGCAGCAGATTAATTTGTAATTCAAACGTTTGCTGAGCGAATATGGAGCATTGTGAATCACTGACTGCAAATTGATTTGATTAATTCCGAGCACGCAACTATTCATATTTTGCGATCCAATGCGCGCAGTTTCCATCAATGATCCCTCGCAATAACACAATGCATATCGATGGGATCAAAAGAATAAATTATATTTCATGCACGTTTGAATTCTACAAACTCACCCATGCATTTGGATATCAAATAAAGTTTTTAGCGAGAAATGAATAAAATTATCAACGCTCACATATTAATTAGAACAAACCAGAACAAACTGTACTTCAATATTTAACACTTATAACTTCGTGTGAGAAATTACTTAATAATTACCTTTTTTAATTAAATCAATTTAAAAAAATCCCATGGTTGCAAATTAACATGGCCAAAAACGCAAATTTGGGAGCTTTTCAATTTATATTGTTGTTTCAATATCTCTATGGTCATGCTTTTTAAAGAGCAAATAAATTAAGACACTCGAACGTCTTCCTAAAATATAATGACTTAATTTATCATCTCATTTCAGGAAAGTGTAATAAAGTTTTGATCATTAAAACGTCAGGCCTATCTTTTAAGACTCAATTCGAGATAGACCAAAAGTTGAACGCCACACGCACGCGGCGAGGAAACCCCAAATCATCTCGAACAGCTCAATCGGCCAGCTGGTTATCCATACCGTGACCAGACGCACCCCTTTCGAACCAATTAAGCAAATGAAGTCGGTGCGCGTGCAGGCACCCAGACCAGGAAGCTGCTAAGTCTGCCGCCAAACAAATTGATCGCGAATAAAATGAGGGCGAACCGAAACCCCTCTATGACCAATTTGGAGGTTTCTCACCTTCAAATCAAAGGTTTTGGCTGATGCTGAAAATGTAGCTATAATACTATCTTAAAATGAAAATTTTTGGCAGTAATTTTAGATTTTTAGTTACGGAATGGAGAATTTTATATACTGATTGTGAGGATATAAAATAACTAAAATTGATTAATGAATAAATATATTATATGGTGAAAAATAATCATTTTTCCGATTTTTACAATCAGTTTTATACTATTACTTCTTCGAATTCAATTTTTTATTTTTCAAATTTAATACTTTTATTAAAATTAACCAATTTTTTAACTTCATACTAAACAATATTAGCTCTTTTAGAACAAATATTAACTATAATTTCATTTTTCCTTGTTTTAAATCTTTAAAATTAAATTATTTTATTTATTGGTCTTGAACCCAAACATTATTATGATTTTTTTTTGCAGTTTAAAGGAATAAACAAACCCTCAATTTATTCATTAAATATAATAATTTTTAATTAATAATGGATTTTTATCCAATAGTTATGTATTATGACCATATCTGTAATAATTTAAATAAATGTCTACCTGCAAATTTGACCGTGCTTTGCATTTGTTTCAGCTCCTGAGAAGCGCTTTGAGGTGTGGCACAGCCGCGGCCCTCGCGAAGGCCTCGTCAACGTGAGCTGTCTGGCCACGGGCGCCTTCCCCGAACCCAAGTTGTCACTCTACCCGGACAGGTGAGCGTATAATTAATTAATTAACTGCGGTGATTTCGAGGCAGCTTCCGCTTTGGGCGTCAAATCGCGCTCGAGGCCGGCACTGCACTTAAGTGTATTAACAATACATGGGGCGTAAGACGAGCCTTTGTGCGCCCGCCAGCCTATTAGGGCGGCCCTTTGTGCCAACCATTAGTCGTCCTTCTCTCACAGAGATGTGTGTTTGCAATTATTTAGAAATCTTAGTCTCCGCAACCGCGCACCTTTGTGATATTGTCGCTTTGATGCGGCCAAGGATTCAGCCGACGATGCTTTCAACTTTTGCAGGTTTATAATCCACAACCCTCCCTATGCCATAAGAAAAGTTTTTGCGGATTAAAAATGGACTTTCACCTTTTTGAGGCTTAAATGTGAATTCATTTAATTAATATCGGACGCGGGTCCATTACGAATGTCCCTAATTATGCTTTCCGCCTCAAGAACAGAACAAACTGCCTCTGCTGCTCCGCGCGCAGCACAAGTGCCTTTTGCCTCAAACAAGCCGGCCCGACTAATTACCAGATATCAAAGCGCCGGCGAGACCCACCCGCGGCCGCAGGGCTTTTTAATTCTCAAGCATTTTTGGCCATTTGCTCTGTGGCAAGGATTTCACAAATAATAATGAGAGAGAAATTTTGCGTGTATGTTCATGTCTCGCCGCAAGTCCTTTTCCTCTTTTTCGTTTTTGTGGAGAATACAAACAGCCGGTGCGGATCAAAGGAAAAGTTAAAAGTTTGTCAAACGGGACAATTTTAGAAAAATGTTCTGCTTTGGTGGTTTTAGAATTTTCTTGATTTTTCTCGCAGTGACAATAAATAAATTTGCATTCAAATTTTATTTAGTATTTAAAAAAATAAAAGATTGCAATTATGTCAATGATAAAGCAAAGCATGCCAGGGCAAAAATTCCCTAGGATTTTAAACAAATTGTATCAGAATTGATTTTAGATTATCTAAAACGGTAATTATTTATTTATATTCATTATAATTATGAAATTGTGAGTATAATGTAATAAGAATTTTGAATTAATTTTAGTATTTTAAGAAATTATTGACATATATAAATAAAACAAATAAAAGTTTTTTCTTGCATAGTTTAGTCACTAACTCTGAAGATGATATCATTTTTCCCTTTTAAATGGATTTTTTATTCAAAGATAATTAAATCTTTTATAGTAAATTTACATTCCCAGCCAAGATTTATGAAAAACGTTAATATACAGTATTATTGTAAATTTTGGATTTCGTCGTCTTCAAATATTATTATTAGTTTTTAAAACATCAAAATGTTGATAAATATTCCCAAAATTTCATTTCATCAACATTTGTAAATTTTTTGCTAATTGAAATTCCTTGATTTTTCTTATAATTAATAATATCGACAATGCGCAAAAACTCCATAACAAGCAGATGGAGCTGTGCGTACATGTTTTGTATTAATCACATCAAACGCCCAAGGGCTTGTTAAAGCAACTCCTCTGTGTTTGTCATGTGTGTGAGCAAACATAATTTGCGAGAGGCGTAATATGTAAAAGTAAAGGATAAGTTAATTCCAAACACTGAGAGACCAATATGTGCTTCGGCAGCACAAATTTTGCACGCTACCTTTAGCAAAACGCAAAACGGAGAGAGCGAGCTGAAGGCCTCAAAAGCATATCCAAGCTTTGTCCCGGCCGAACAGGCTTATCGTGTGCGCGGCCAGAACAAAACCCGCTCCAACACAAATAACTCAGAGGCAATCGTGCTCTCTATTAATAATTCCAAATATATATAATCGGGAGCTGCTGCGCGAATCACTTGATGTGTTGCGTCGTCTCTCTGCCTCTTTCCCATAACATCGCATCCGTGCGGTTCATAGACGCGGCGCCGTGTTTCGCTTTATGTGTGCACATAAAGCCCTGATGTGTGCTCTCTCGCGTGCATGCATGCCTGCCTCCGACTAAATGTCACTGTAATGTCAACTTGATGCTGCAATATCCCCGGGCCAAATATTACAAAGTAACATTTTCCAGCGGCGGCGAGGCGCATTTTTTGCATATTTAAGGTCACGGCCCGTGTTTCGCCTAGATTAACACTTTATTTCTGTGTCAGCTACAAAAGGGTCGTGCGAAATGTAAAAAAAAAGGAAATAAAAAAAGTCGTGTTACGTCGCGGAAATGGAGATGTGGGTACTACAAGTTGTTCATAAACTGAGCTGTCAAAATACTTTTGTACACATTCTTGTCCATGATCAAGTGCTGTTCCAATACAAATACCCGTTCTTTAAGAATTGTATCCTAGTTAAACTACTAAAATTTTGTCATTTTGAACGATGGAGAAAACTGAACAAATGTTTGGGGGTAAATTGGAAGAGAAATATAGCTATCATTATCCTTGATCTTAAATATTTAAAACGTCTTAGTGCTTGTGAACGTTGGTGAAATATACACCAAAATAATGATTTTAAAGTATTTAATAGTAAAATTTTCTCGTCAAATTATTTTCAACACGTTTTACTGTTGTTCTAAACTTTTTTCTTGAGCTCTTTTCACTTAAATCGGTGGAGCTTTTGATGGTGAAACTTGAAGATTAGAACCATCATATCGCAAGCAAAAACAAGCGAGTTTGAAAAATTCTCGTTTGAGAGCTCAAAGTTGCGACGTAGCGGGGCTTGGAATTTGGGTCCTAAACAAACGGTGCGCTGCAAGTGGGTGTATTCTGCGTAAGCCCCCACAGGACTGCTGGCAAGAAAGAGCAGGTAGAAGCGAGAGTGACGCTCGGGTAAAAGATATTCTCTCTGAAGTGCACGGCGCGTCGTGAAAGCAGGCGGAATTTTTGCAGCGCCGAAAACGGTGGCGGCTGTTTTTGCTCTTTCGCAACACAACAAGGATATTACTTACAAAAGGAGTAAAGAAAGACCAGAACCTGATATCTTTTTTAATGGAAGCAGGATGAAGCAAGAAGTACCATCTTTATATATGAAGACGCGCATCTCTCTTTTCAAAATTCATGTAGCGCACAAAGAGTGTCACTTTTTGCCTGCAGGCCCCGTTACTTTTCAGTCTAAAACTCGAAAATAATGACACGCTACTTTTCGCCACCGGACTTTGACATTTTCTCTTGTAACCGGATATTTCCTTCCGAAATTCTGCGAAATTTTAAGTCTCAAGACGTTACCCGAGTAATCCGCCTTTCGGATGCTGACAACAGGCAGGAGAGAGGTAATTGGAGACGCGCGAGCGATGTGTGCGTCCTTACGCCGAAAAAGACACAAGAGCGTGTCACCAACATCTAGCAAAACTTCGCAAGTGAAATCGCAAGTTAACAACTCTTGAGCAAAGTTCCGCCGCATAGTCTTGAGACAAGTTGCAGACTCGGTTCAAATTAAATTTCGCTCTGCAACTCGCTCACATAAGTTTGTCGGGTTTCAACCTAATGGAATTTGTCCTGCAATAATTCAGAACACTAATTTTCCTCAAATTAAATGAATGGTGAATAAAAAATTTTAATTGATGGAAATCATAAAAGCTTATCCTTTTTTAAATGATAAATGGCCATTTTGATATAACGTCCTTCTGGTTGAACTTCATTTCCTGTTATCTTGAATTTATTTTGATATAAATTGGCTTCTCTGTTTCTATTTGATCATTAATCATGAAGACACGCACGATTGGCGATGGAGCAGCCCAAGAGTCGAACGGATACGTCCATGCATAATAAACGTCACGCTGGACTAACCAGATTTCTACATCTGGTTGCGGTGTGTGCTTGTGGTTGGTCGTTGCACCCACGTGTAAACAGCATCCCAGATTGCATTATGCACGCCAAGAAGATTATTTCGTCAGCTGCATCCATAACTGACCATTAGTTACTAGGTCAATTGGAATTGGGGTCACAACATTGGACACAATCTTAATTAAATCCTGGAAAGTCCAATGCCATTTTTTTAAATCAAAACATTAAGTTTCAATTTCCAATTATTGAAAAAAATTAGTCTGTTAAAAGTTGCTTAGTAATTGTAAGATATAAAAATTTTTTACTATATTTTTATGTTGTTAAAAAAAGTTTGATTAGTAAAACTCATTTTTCTAGCAGCAGTAAAATTTCATATTTGTATTTTGCTCTTTAAAAAAACTTGAGAGTGAAAAAAAAATTATATTCAGTAAGTAAAACAAATTTAAATTTCATTAGATTTATTGCTTTAATTATTCTCATTATCAGCGTTGAATTTTTTATTTTTAAAATATTGGCATTTTACTTTGTATAACAAAAGTGGCGTGGGCGAGAAAAGTTGGATCAGTGTCTGGTTGTCGTGGAAACCTGTGGTTGCAGCCGAGAGGTCTCGTGCCTGTCAAACGCGTGTGCAGCCAGGGACGACCGATTCGACAGCGGCAGTGACAGTCGGGACGTCAATTCCTGTCGTTAGTCATCGTCAGCGTCGTGATTAATTGCCCGGGCTTTTAAAGAGGCGCACGCCGCCTTCTCCGTTCATTTTGTTGTGCGCCGCAGGATGACAAAACTTTTCGCGGGGAGAGAGAGAAAGTGCGAGAGAGTGAGTGCCTCCGCTTTGACAACTCTCTAATCGCACGAATATAAATCATCTTTCGGCAAAACGTTCCAGTTTTTAGGGAAGAAAGTATACGAGAGCATAATATCCTTTGTTGGATGAGCTACTTTTGAGCATAAATAATAAAAAAAAAGAATGAGCACATCATGCGTAGGTTTTAGGTGCTCTCAAGTCTCGATCGTGACTCCATCAAGGTCTGCAACCTCAAGGGGGTCGTTCCAAAGAGAGGCAATCAGTCGTAGCCGTAAAACTTCAGACCACTCCTTAACTTAAACAACTTATTTGAATTAGATTTCCATCATAAATAAGATAAAATATAAAAAGAGAAAGCAAATAAATCTGATTAAAATTCAAATAGATTGAGAATTATTGTTATTTTTTTTTTTTACAGAAAATATTAAATTAAAATTTGTTTCACACTTTTTGAAATCCAGAAACAAAGTTTTCCTGAACCTTATCAGCGAAGGTGACTAATCAATTTGAATTTTCGCAGTGGTACTCTGGAAGACGTGAAGATCGAGACGCGATCGCACAAAGGCTCGTACGACGTGATCGCCAGCACAGTCATCGAGTACCCGCTCGAACCCACCGTCTTCCACTGCGAGCTCCGCATCCCCGAGGCCAAGTACGAGATTCGCAAGAGCCTCGTCTACTACCCTGGTGAGTACCATTATTTTCAAATTTATTCACTGACGTAAAAGCTTTGTCGCTTAAATTATAAATGCTGTACTTAATTTCACGAATTAATGCAAACGCCTGCGAAACGTGAGTTATGCAATCTGCAGGCAGCAGCTGCGGCGCCGGTTGCATACTTACCCACTGCAGCAATCGTTGGCGCAGTGCTACAAGGACTTTGCGAAATGTGATTAATGACGGCGCACGTTGTCTCGGATAGAAGTCTGTTTTGGTTCCGACTAGGCTCGCGCTCAATTAATTGAAAACAAACATTTGGAACGAGTGGAGCGCGTCGATATAGAGATCGGACGGGCGCGATTAATTAGTTGCCCCGACTAGAAAAACAATTAATTAGGGCACTGTACTTGGCGTCAGGTTAATTGCATCAGCAATGTTTATTGTTGTATGGAAATTTGATTAAAATTCCAAACGAAAGAGTTGATAATATTGTTTTTGTTTTGCGGCTATTTTTATTGCAATATTCTGGTCCCAACCATAAAAGCTGGAGCGGAATTTACAACGGCCATATAATATATAAAATATCGGGAAATTCCCCTGCGCTGAAACTAATATTACATATATATCCACTCACGGTCTGATGACCAAAAACTTATTACGGGCCGCACTAATAGGATAGCCAATATTATCTCGCGCGCGACAAATGCGATGCTCACGCGGTGCACGTGGATTTAGTAATTTTAATCTGCTCCCTGGTGCGGCCAGGCGAAAATTTTGATTTGAACCTTTTGTAAAACGCTCATCCCGAGCTGCCGGACCAAAGCCAGCCAGATTACGTCGTTTTTTGTCAGCGCTCTATATTTGTCATCACTGTTTAATTCAGACTGCTTTTTTGGCCTGGAAAACTTCGATAAATTTCCTGTAAATTTTAAACGTTTAATTTCATTTTTGACGTCCCGATTGTTTTATAGTTGGAGTTATGAATAATTATTTTAAATTTAATTTAAGGTTATCAAACAATTGATATTTAAAAAAATCGTTGCACAAATTATATTTCGAAAAACCATTACATGAATAAAATACTACTCCATTCAAATTCCAATATAATTACTTAAAAAAATGCATCTGTTCTGTTTTCAATTTCGTTTTCTTATCTGGTAATTAAATTTTTAAAATCGCAAATTGCTGTCGTTATTTGATTAGTTCGGCCTATTTGGCTACTCAACCGCAACTTCATTACTGTTCTAGTCGTACTGAATAGATAAGAAAAAAGTTGCAGAAGCTTGGTGGTGCCTGCAAATTGGTGTTTGCCGAAGCAGGCCTTGTTGTTTTCTGCCGCAAACAGGACGGGGTCGGCTATTAAGGGCCTAATAATTCCGGGCGGTGCTAAACGGTTTCCTATTCGCGGCGGCGGCAGACACAATGCGAGCAGAGCCGTGTTTGAGTGTGTGCGTGAGCGAGGAGTGTTTGGCCGAGAGAGAGAACGGGAATGTAAAGTACCATTAGGGCGAGCAAACCGCAGAATTGGCGATGGTGTTGCACTGCTGGTGCGTTCCACCGTGTTGTTCTATTCAATGGGCCGCGACCGAATATAATGCCCCTAGCCTTCCTCCCTCCACTCATGAATAGACATACATGAATGCAGACACGAAAAGCGTCATGACGTGTTAGTCCTGCTGGACGTCCACCGGCTTTGTTTCGGGTCCATTAGCGCTCCAAATTTCACATGAATTCGTTTTTGCTGATATGAAAATGTGCATATGTAGCAACAACATACCTCTGCTAAAATAAAAACGACCTGGACTGGCATTTTTTGTAACAAAATCGACTGTAATTGATTACATGATGAATTATATAACATGGGTCGCCTGGAAATGCTGGAATCTTTGAAACAGAAACTGTTAGAAAGTAAGAAAAGTTGTCAAAAATTGATTCAAAATATTATTGTTGGAAAGGGAAAGAAAAGATTTAAAATAATATTGCTATTGATAACCAAAATTAAATTTATTGGTTTTCTTAAAATTTTTATGTAAATTAGTACATTTCCTGAATTTTTATTTCTTTTACTAGGACCGATTTCAGAAAATAATTCCTTATATTCTCAATTGCATCAACCCATGCTTCTACAAAAAATGTATTTTACTTTTCAATGCATCTCTTTTGTGTTGAGCAAAATTTGATGAACGAAGTACCTCAGACTCTGATTTAGAACATTGGAGATTCTCCAGATCCATTTTTACGATTTGATTTACGCGCAATTTTATAAGAAAAAGTGATTTTTTTCGCTCTTTGTTCTCCTTTCCATCTCGTTTTTTTTTTATATGCAAAGAAAAAAGACGCAATAACGCCTTTTTGCTCTTAGCTGCTACTTTCACACTTTTGATCCATCTCTTTTGTGAAAAGAGAAGGAATGCGATGCGCGAGAAGGATCTTATTTCGCAAGAGGGCTGCATTTCATTTGTTGTAGCGCAACACAAGCCTTCTTTCTGTGGATTCCCACTTAACAAATTGCGACGACGGAGCGAGATCATTGCGCTCTCAAAGCGTGTGCCGAGACGTATCCCTTGAGGGGGGTGCATTGTGTGTGATCATCCCCCTCTGCAAAAAGAGCTTCTCACCTAATAAAAAAAAGCGCAACGCGGTTATAACGAGCGAATTTGATTGATATTCCAAAGGATTATGCGAGAAATAAAAAGAGGGGCTATTATTTAGCAGGAGATTACGTGTGGCGAGTCGCAAAGGTTAGTGGGGCAAAATTAAAAAGAAGAGCGGTCGAGATCAATACGGCGTGCAGATAGAACGGCGTCGTTCACTTTTCGCCCCTGCCTGTGTATAATAACGACGAGACACGCCTTTACGCCCGATAAACTTGCAGTTTGTAACTACAACTGGGCCGGCCGCCACCGGAGAGAGGCCAGCAAGTTTTTATAGGGTGCACCCATACACACGGCGGGCGTCGTAAAAAGAAAAAGAATGCCGGCCGCTGCTGGACATAGCGAATTCAATTTCCTGTAAAGCTTTCATCAACAACAAAAGGAAGGCCGGTGATGGAAGTCGCACTTTAAATGACTTTTGCTCGGTCGCTTTTATGGCCGGTCGAAGATATAAATTTGAAAGGGAGGTAGAAAAAAAATGGAGTCATTTTGCAGGATTATATGCAATGCCAATTTTCAGCGGCCATTAAAAAATTGGGCGCCGTGAGAAGGTTAGGGCTTTATGGCCGCTTTTATGTCTTGTAACCGGCTTAACGCAAGAGTTCCATGCATTTCAAATTGTGAAACACAGACAGAATTACGACCAGAATACCCGAGGATACATGAGAGGTCAAGGAATTATGACATGGACAGTCCTTATTAAAAAAAAGCAGGTGCAAAAATGGGATTTAAAGTTAAAAATTTATAAATAAAAAATAGGGATTCGTGAAAATTAATGTTGATGATAAATTTTGCTTTCAAATCAAATTTTTATTTTACTTTGATAAGAAAGAAGAAAAAAATGAAAAATTGAAACCGGGCGAACCTCGTTGCAAAGAAAAAATGAAAAAATAAAGGACAACTGACCCCAAAGGAGACCTGCTTCGCCCGGTTTCAATTTTTCATGAAATCCACCTCGAGTGTTACCATTCAAGAAAAAAATGAATTTTTTTTCTATTCCCAACTTCAGAGTCTTCAAATTATACTATTTTTATAGATTTTGAAAAAGTGGAGTTAATTTAATTGTTTTTCTGTGATAGTTTCACTTAAATAATTTAAATGTTCTAAATTTATTTATAGTTTACGCATTTGACTGATGCAATCATTCGCAAAGGAATCAGAAAAAAATATAAATGCATTAAAATAATAATTACATAAATCGAGAAATAAAGCGTATCAAAATGTATTTGGAATTGAAAGGCTCAAATAAATTTTCCCGAGAGCTCGTGCGTCATCTGATTAAGAATTCCTTTTGTGGACGATAATCTACTTTAGAAATAGTTCCTTGACTAAAAACATGAATTAAACAAACATTCCTGTCACAGGAAATTCCAGCGGCGATAGCTGGTATCGAACTCAAAACCGCAGGTAGAAGAATGTCAGTTTTATCAAAGTGCATGCAACAACCGCTCCATTTATCAGAGCCACAAAGCTCCCTTTGAGAAAATAAATGCAGAGAGGAAAAATAATATAATATCTTTATCAGCGAGTTATAAAATATCGCCCCCAAACAACTTCACTTGCATACTGCGAAGAGAGGAAAAACCGATATTTAAATTCCGTCCGCGTCCCACACAAACCGTCGGCAAAAAGTGTCACAAAAACAAGCCTGTCTGATCAAAAGCAGCTCCCTTTGTATCATTTCACAGTTAAATAACTAAGCTGCCTTGAGCAAATAAATTTATCGGGAAAAATAAAATGCACTAAAGGGAGCGTCCAGGCCAGTTCTTTATGAATTTAATTTCCATTTGTGTAAATTGTGCTGCCAGAAAATGCTGATTGCCACTTTCAACGAGTCGGTTCCATAAAATAGCCTTCCCCTCTCGCATAAATGGCCCGACCTTATTCTTTGTTCCCGCTAAAATGCTGAGCCCGCAAACGATATGTGGTCGCGTTTGTCTCCGCTGTCAGCCCACCCGGCATTCACTGATAAAATGCGCGCAGACATTCCTGCATTTTAATTAACGTGCCTTTTCTTTAACGCTGCCGCCGGCTGCTGAAATTTTGCCGGCACTTGGGATTGCATTTTGTGTCGCTCATTTCCGCCTGCCTGCCTCACTGGGGTATGTAATTGGGAATTCGATACCCGACGAGCTAAATGTGACGAGAAAGTGGTTCGATATGTTGGAAATAAAGCTGACACATTTCCTGCAAATATCCAACCAGAGAAAAATTGAAAATGCTTGAGTTTAATTAAAAAAATTCTATGGAATTTTTTATAATTTAGATGGGGTTTGTTGAAATCTGAAATAGACAAAGATCATTCAATAATATCAAAGAATTTTAAAATTTGTTATTTTGATAATATATAATAATGTTTTGGTGGCGTCAGCC